CTGGTCGCGAATGAGAAACCCATATCCTATTATCTTAGAGTCACTTCTGACAAGCATGTTTGACGGTGTCTCTAATTCAACATAGGAAATTATGATGGAGAATTAAGGCTGGAAAGAGACAGTGGTGAGAGGAACAATCAGAAAGTGAGGGAGGAGACAGGAAAGAATAAAACACAAAGATAAAAGTCCCAACTCTCTGAGAGCCTTTAAAGTACAAAGGGACTGTCACATCTCAGCAATCTGCCAAGGCTTCACGGCCATTGACCCATGCCATCATGAGGCCCCTCAGTCATTAAGGGAAGATTAAACTGTATTGTTATTTTACAAAGGCAAATAAGTGTACCATAGATTCCTTTTTTTAAAAAAATATTGAGTATATATGGTATACTGCTATAAAGTGAATAGTGTTTTTTTAAATTTATTTATTTTATTTACTTTATTTTTGGCTGCACTGGGTCTTTGTTGCTGCACCCAGGCTTTTCTCTAGTTGCGGCGAGCAGGGGCTACTCTTTGCTGCGGTGTGCAGGCTTCTCATTGCGGTGGCTTCTCTTGTTGCAGAGCTCAGGCTCTAGGCACATGGGCTCTAGAGCGCAGGCTCAGTAGTTGTAGCGCACGGGCTTAGTTGCTCCGCGGCACGTAGAATCTTCCCGGACTAGGGCTCGAACCCGTGTTCCCTGCATTGGCAGGTGGATTCTTAACCACTGCGCCACCAGGGAAGCCCCATAGATTACTTTTTAAAGAATTTTATCAAAAGCAGTCTTTCTATTTTTTATTTTACACATAAATGGACTGTTCAATTATTTAGAAAATTCACTTGTGAGAAAGCAGCCTAGATAACGTTTTACTACAAACAATCTGATGACCGTGAACTCTCTGAACATTACTCATAGAATAATCGCCACTGGCCTAATTTACAGTAGGAAGAAATACACTGATTTTTCTCCCAATAGATCTGTTTTGATCTGATTCATGCTACTTGCCCAGGCCCCATACCGATGGCATAAGCATGCAGCCAGGACTACTGAACACAACAGTCCTAAAGCATGCTTGAAATCTGTGCAACATTTCTTCCCCAACCAAGCCACATAAAGAAAACATAGCAAAACTAGGAATTGCTGTAGACTGGACTTGGGTTGGGTGTTACCCCTAACGCAAGTCAGAGCAACTCCCTTTGGATATGGCAACACCTTCAAAATCACTTCAAATTAGTGAAGTTCTACTTTTTTTTTTTTTTCCCCCCGGTACTCGGGCCTCTCACTGTTGTGGCCTCTCCCGTTGCAGAGCACAGGCTCCGGACGCACAGGCTCAGCGGCCATGGCTCATGCGCCCAGTCGCTCCACGGCATGAGGGATCTTCCCGGACCGGGGCATGAACCCGCGTACCCCTGCGTCGGCAGGTGGACTCCTAACCACTGTGCCACCAGGGAAGCCCTGAAGTCCTACTTTTAAATAATTTTTCTAAGCTGAGGCCTCAAGATTTGGAAGATGACACAAAGATAAAATCAATAAATTCTAATTTTTGGTTTCAAAACCTTTTTTTTCCCATTATAGAATTCAATACTTTAATACCCTTTTTATAATACTACTTCAGTTTAAAATGCTCAGAATTACTTTGGCAGTGATGATTCCCAGTAATTGTAGGGTCAAATCATCTTCATCTAATTTTCACATCCACCAACTAAATATTCCCAAGCTCATACTTCCCTTCAATTTCTTCCTTCAGGGGTTTCCCTGGTGGCGCAGTGGTTAAGAATCCACCTGCCAATGCAGGGAACACGGGTTCGAGCCCTGGTCCAGGAAGATCCCACATGCCATGGAGCAACTAAGCCCGTGCACCACAACTACTGAGCCTGTGCCCTAGAGCCCATGAGCCACAACTACTGAGCCCGTGTGCCACAACTACTGAAGCCCACGTGCCTAGAGCCCGTGGTCCCCAACAAGAGAAGCCACCACAATCAGAAGCCTGCACACTGCAACGAAGTGTAGCCCCCACTTGCCAGAACCAGAGAAAAGCCCGCATGCAGCAACAAAAACCCAACGCAGCCAAAAAGAAAATAAATAAACTAAATTTATATTTAAAAAAAAGATATGGCCCATTCAATAAAAGGTATGCAAAGTTAAATAATAATGAGATGCCTTATTTTTTTTAAAAAATTTCTTCATTCAGTGAGTATTTACTGAACATTTACTCTGCTAGGTACTCGGCTGGAAACCAGGAGACTCATGAGGGAACATAATAGAGCCCATGCCCATTGCACTTAGTACATTTGGGGAATGAAACTGAATGAAATGCCAGCTAGTTTCTCAGTGCCTCTTTGAGATAGTTATAGACACTCTAGGGATGTCAAAAGAAATAAACACTAAAAAAAGAGTGGATATATGTATAACTGATTCACTTTGCTGTACACCTGAAACTAACACATTGTAAATCAACTATACGCCAATAAAAATTTAAAAATAAATAAACAATAAGGTCTGGACTTATGATCTCATGTGACAAATACCTTAAATTTGAATACGTTACACATTTGAAGTATACACTCTTGAATTATTCCACTACATTTACCTACATATGAATTTATCCGATGTCCAAAGGTCTGAAATCTATTTTTATTCTCAATGCTCTTCCTTCATATGAGCACATTGAATAGCACGGTAAAATTTTAGAGTTTAAACTTTCTCATCTCTTTGGGAAAGAGGAAAAACCCATAAAGTAGTGAGATTATCTCGATCCCCTTTTTTTTTTTCAGTACAAAAATTATGACGAAAACATTGCAGTATAAGACTATATTTACCCAAGCTGAAGATAACCAATTCTGATGTTCCAAGGATGCTAATGCATTTCCTCTCCTCTATAAAATGTGGCTTCTGAGAAAAGGCTTTGTGCCTAATGAAATGTTACTACATAAAGCATATAGACTACCAGTTTAGAGAAACGTAACTGAAGAATCACAGGTACATGCGCTCACGCAGCTTATCAATAGTGGTTTACTAAGTTCAATTAAAAAATGCTACCATGAGTCGGTTTTATCTTAAGAGAAAAATGTGAGTGCAAAATGACCAAGAGGATCAAGGAACCGGGCTTTCAGTTTTCATCGAAGTCCTGACCTGCTGGGCCATTTTAGTTTTCAAATGACAGTAATAAAAAAAACACACTAATAGTTATTTGTCTCATAGTTTTTATCTAGGTACCCCTTTAAGAAAAGTTTAAATTACTAGTATGATTTTCATACTACTTTACCTGAAAACACAATTGGACTTACTTATAGATTCTATACTCCCCCATCATAATTTATGGGGGAGTAAATTCTAAAGAAACTTTAGCTCACAGCATCAACTGCTTCCTTCACACGGTTTTGAGCCTCTTAGCTGCTACATGAGTGACTGAAGGAATGAACTGTTTAATAAATCTGTCTGCTAAAAGGAAATCAGAGTCAACCACATTTCCACACCTTCCACTGTTCAAGTCCTCGGTGATCCAGAATTGCTACTACTAACGAACAAAATCGGCATGGCAGTAGAAAATAAACATGTAGCACAGGGAGTGACGAATATTACATTTCTTCCAAACAACGACGACAACGAAAAACTATAGAAAGAGGATGAGAAAAACATAAACCTTTCAGGCAAGACAACCAAAGTAACATGGTGCCACGTAATACAATCTTGGGACCCACTGAGTTCTGTTTAAACGTATCACCCTCCTTGGGAATCTAAATCAAGGACTTGGGATCCTAATTTGAAAATGAAACAGAACAACACAGAGGAAACTGTTTCCTCAAAATAGTAATGGCCTTACAGATGCCTTTTAGGAACTTATACCTAATTAAGTCTATTCATTCCTCCTGTAAACTGTAAGTATCCCCAAATTTTATACGTCTCTAAATAAGGTGGAGAAAAGGGGGAAAACGACATTTAGCTGCGTAATTCAAATAAAAGTATTTCTTTCTTCCCAAGTTACATAATTAGAGAAGCCATGAAGCAAACCTTATCTTACCTAAAAACCAGAGATTCATGATAAGGTAACGTTTAAACCTTTGACCAATTGCCTTTCCTTGATAACCAACGGGATCCTTCCACTCGTCCTTGTTTATTTATTTATTTTTGGCCGCGTTGGATCTTCGTTGCGTGCGCAGGCTTTCTCTAGGTGCGGCGAGCGGGGGCTATTCTTCGTTGTGGTGCACGGGCTTCCCATTGCGGTGGCTTCTCTTGTTGCAGAGCACGGGCTCTAGGCGCGTGGGCTTCAGTAGTTGTGGCTCACGGGCTTAGCTGCTCTGCGGCATGTGAGATCTTCCCGGACCAGGGCTCAAACCCGTGTTCCCTGCATTGGCAAGCGGATTCTTAATCACAGCGCCACCAGGGAAGTCCCTCCATTGGTCCTTGACCATCCTTCCACAGTCAAGCAAGGAACTCAAAGTCAGTTGTCTATTACCATGACATCAACTGAAAACTAAAAAATCCAAACTAGCTGTGCATATCCTGCAACAGGCATACCAGCACTATGTATTCAGACACTACCAGCATTATGTATACAGACATGCTTCTCAACTAAATCCGATAACACATCTTAAAATTAATGCATTCCCTTGATCTCAAAAGGCCAGACTGGATAAAAGTTAGGCCACTGCTTTGTTTACTCTTTAAAACATTAAAATCTGTGCTGACAGTGAGTGGCACACAAAACTATACTTAGACATTGTGCTGGTTAACACAATACTTGCATTTCCCTGTTCATTAGCCATTGGTACATCTATAGTCTTGGATAGGAATTAAAAATGAGAAATAATGAGAGCAATTTCCTGAGTTACTCCACCTTTAAATTACATTTCATTGAGACTTATCCTCTGAATTTACTGGTTGTCCTATCCTGTTTACGTGAGAACTTAAGAAACCTCTCGTAATTCTGACATCTTTACACATGAAAAAAAATTGTATACATGTAAGAAAGGTTCCTTATAGATGTCACTTTATCATTTAAAAATCACTTTAGCCAAAAAGACGTAAAAGTAAAATTACACATTTTATTCATTCATTCCATCAGCTGAGAATTGCTCAATTGTACAAATACGATATTGTACAAAAAAATCACAAAATGTTACAAAATAAAAAAGTACAAACTGCATTACTTAATAAATACGACTAAAAGTAGTTAAAGTGGAAATGAGATAGGTTTTAGGTTGGAAACATTGTTTGACCCAGCAAACCATACAAGCTCTTGTATACAGGCATTTTTATTTGTACATAATACAGGGCAATCCTATTTTGCCTTGTGAAAGAATTTAAAAGGAATAGACTATGAAGACAGTATTCTTCTGCTGGAAAATAACTGCCAAGGTTGGTTGGGGGCATTTATGCCATTAGTTTTTCAATCTCTCGGGTGAATCCAAGAGGCTGTATATAAAGCAGGAGGCTTATCTCGTCACAAAGTCTTCTATCACGTTAAAATTATTTTTTCAACAAAATGACAAATATAAATAAAAACAATTGAGAGCACCAGACAATCTACTCTAAACCTCAACCAGAGTACAGAATAATCACTCTGCCATCAGCAAATATCAGACTTTCATTCAAGTAAGAGCTGGTACTATTCTTTAAAGAAAAAAAAAATTCTTCCCATAACCTCCCCTTAAGTATTTTCTCTTTAAAAGGTTGACCATTTCTAGAAAAATAATGATTTTCCAAACAACAAATCTGTTTCATCAAAACGGAACGGGCCAATCATCTGGTAATATGAATGCATCAATATCCATTTTAAATAATTACTTAGGAACTGTAAAATCCAAATTCAACAACAAAAAATACTAAATCACAAACTCTGTCTAAAATAATAAACTTCATATAAAGCACTTCTCTGGATTTATGCCGGAAAGCTGTGTGTCAAAATGGAACACATCATAGATGAAGATACACCAATTGTTAAAAATGCTGTGCAAAAATACATTCTTATAGAAAATAGATTACCAGGAATGAACAAAATTTACACTGTGAGAAACCAGCTTGCAAATTAAGTAGTGCCAACTTTGTACAGCAAATGATAAATAGCAGTAGGATCACCCAAAGCTATCATGAAACATCACTTAGGTGCCCAGCAACCTTCAGCTCTGAGGAGAAAACATTCAAAAAAATGATTAAGGCATTACACCTACAGTAAATCTACTTGAAAGTTTAAAAGTGCTATTACCCTGATTAGAGTTCATGTAATTCTCCAAACACAAATTAGGTCTGCAATTTTCCCAGGGTGGAGGGATTCAGACACTTCAAGAGCATGCGTTTTGTTCAATATACATTTTGGATAGGGATATGGCCATGGACTTGGCGAGTTCTTCGTCGCGTTTTCTTTGCACTTGAGTCTGCCTGCACCAAGTGTCATACTCCGGATTCGGATAGGAGTGATCAAACACCGCGTCGTAATGTCCGTTACTGAGCCAACTGAGCCAAATGCTAGGCCTTAGGGAATCCTCTGGGCCCAAATAGTGAATCATGGTAGACACCGTGGGGCTCTCCAGCCTCCCGCCAGTAGTTAGATGTATATTCACGTTCAGCATCTGCCCCATGGCCAGAAGTTCAGGGTACCCGGCCCACGCCCCGTCCTGAGCAGCGGCGATGATAAACTCCCCCACGTCGCCCTCAATCAGGGGGCTAAAGTGGTCGAGGTGGTCGGCGATGTAGTGCACCGTCTGCTCCCGCAGCTCCCGGTGCAGGCTCTGGTCCCCGTACACCGCCTTGCTGACCGCTCGGTAGAGGCAGTTGCCGTCGGGAATGATGTGAAATCGGTACTTGCTCCTCTGCCGCAGGTACTTGTCCTGTCTCTCCACCTCGGCCAAGTACAGGGCCAGCTTCTCATCCTTGGGATCCGACCTGGAGACGATCGCCGCCTCGGCCGCGCCACCCGGGACCGCCTCGCCGCTTCGCGCCGGAGGCGCCTCGGCCTCCGGGTCGGGCCGCCGCGCCTCGTCGGCGCTGGGAGGAGGGTGGACGCGGTCGCCGGCCCTGTCCCAGCCCCGGAGGCTCCTCTCCGCAGGGCGCTCCTCGGCCCACGGGCCGGGGCCGGCTTCCGGGCTCTCCGGGGGCGGCGCGGGGCCGCGGTGCTTGGCGGCGGCCAGGGCCTGGCGGTGCTCGCTCAGTCGGAAGTTTCTTTCGGGCCCCTCGCGGGCCGCGTCCACGCCGGCGGGCTCGGGGCCGTCGGGCCTCAGCAGCTCCTCCAAGAGCCAGGCCGAGGAGCCCCGCCGCGGGGGGACCGGGGCGCCGGATGGCGGAGCCAGCAGGAGGCAGCGGCCGCGCGGGGCGGCGGGCGCCGCGGCGCCGGGCTCCGGGCCGCGCAGCAGGAGCCGGTCGGCGCCCAGGGCCCGCACGGTGATCTGAGCCGTGGACGTGTAGTGCGGCGGCAGCGGCGGCTTGCAGGACCCGCCGGGCGGCCCGGCGGCGGCGGCCGAGGCGGGGGCGGCGGCCCCAGACACCATCTCGAAGCAGGAGGAGAAGGCGGGCATCTTGGCGGCGGGGGCGGCGGCGGCTTCGCGGGGCTCGGCGGCCGCGGCCGGCTGGCACTCACCGGTATCGGGCTCCGGCGCGCCGCCGGCGGGTCCCGGGGGCTGCAGCGATACCTTGAACTGGGCGGCGGCGGCGGCGGCTGCGGCGGCGGGCGGAGCGGGGGCTGCGGCCGTGGGACCAGGGCCCCCGGCTGGGTAGTGGGTGCAGACGCTACTGTAGAGCTGCATGTCCCTGCCCGCCGCTCGGCCCCTTATAGGCGCGCCGAGCCCCGGTGAGGGGACACACCCTCCGGGCCCGGGAGAGGGGGCCGGCCGAGCGCGGTGACCCAGTGCCCCGAGAATAGCAATGACCAAAGGGCCGCCGGCGCGTCAGGAGCCGCATATAGCGCCCGGGGCCCCGCCAAATTCCTGCTGCGCCACAGCACGCGGTGGGGGCGGGGAGGGGACGCGCGCTCGACCCCTGCCGGCGCGCTCGGCCCGCAGACCCGGGACGCGTGCGCCCGCTTCAGCTGCTCCGGCCCGCGGCGGCCGCTGGGGACTCTCGGAGGAAGCCGCCCGCCCTGCTGGAGCACGTCCCACCGGCTAGGAGCAGCGCGCGGCTCGCTGAGGGGCCAGGGGGCGGGGCCGCGGTTGTTTACCTCAGGCCGCGCGGCCGCGTCACGTGCCCCCGCTGGAATGCGCGGCTCGTCGCGTCGCCCCATTCAACCGCCGGGGTTCGTCCTGCCCCTCCGGCTCGCCCCGCCCTGTTCGGCGACGTCATGGGCGTGGCCCGCGGCGCGGGAGCGCGGGCTGGCGAGCGAGCAGCCTCGGAGCTCGCTGTACGGTGAGGGGGATCTTTGCCGCTGCCCCACCTCAGCCGCAGTTTTAGACGCCGCGCTTTTCTGGCCTGCTGCAGCGGTCGTGGCGGGATGGGCACTTCTTGGGGCGGGCTAGAATGCTGAAAGGGCGCGTTTTGGAAGAAGCTTCCGGGTTCGATATGGAGAACGGAGAGCTGCTCTGAAACCTGCACGGCCTCTGCCTGGTCATAGCACCACTGCCGTCTTTTTCATTCAGTCCCTTGGGTTGTATTGTTAACGTAGCGTGACGCCTCCCTTTCTCCCCAGCACCTTGCTGCCCTGCTAAACCGAAACCAGCTTTTCTGCAGCCCTAACCCGTGACGACGAGCAAATACAAGACGGGCGAAATACCAAATGCCTAACCGAGCCTTTTGAAACTAGGGGCAGCTGCTAACCATGGGTCAGAGGCAAAGTAGAGAGGGTCGTGATGCATCGCGAATGTGTTGAAATTGAATAGAATTTTGAACATAGTTCTACCCAATTGTGTTAGTTGTCTCTGTTTGTAAAGGAAAGCCGTAATACGCACATGATCAACCGTGTACTGACTGTATAGTAGTAGGCAGCTCTTGCTATATTCTGAGCTTTGATCACATGCTAAACTAACAGGCCCTAAACGTTCAAAGGGAACCTAGGAAGCTGTCCCACCGTTTTACTGATGAGGAAATAGCTTACGTTGTGGCATACGCCTCCCCCGACCCTTCCGCTGAAACGTAAATTCCATGAATGGAAGACTTAGTCTTGGAAACCAAAGGTTTGTTAGAGTCACGAACCCCAGCACAGAGCCTGGCACGTAGTTGGAACTAATTAATATTTACTGAATGAATGAATTAATGGAAGAGGAGTTCCCAAGGCACTGGAGAAGCCAGAATTACGATCCCGGTCTCCTGACCTCAGCCAGGGCTTTTAATTTGCTGTGGTGGGTGTGACTGCAGGATCCCAGCAGCGTTTGCTCGGGTCACATGAACCTGTTAGGCAAATCAACTCAGAAGGAAAAACAACCAGTTAAAAGTCTAACCGTCTTTTCAGCTTCTGGTGACACCCCATTGGGAGCTTGTAGACCCCACTGGCTAACTAGAAAAGGGAAATTACTTAGATTTCATCACTGCAAATCCTAAAGCAAGAATGTGTTTTGAACAGACTGGAGTAAACACAGGGGGGAAAAAAGAAAACAAGAGTAGGTACACAGAAGACAGGCTAGGTCTGATGTACCAAATTAGGAATGTCAAAAAAAATTCAATTGAGTAAATTTGATGATCTGATTGGCTTTATTAAGAGATTCGGGCTTAATTCCATCAGGCAACATCCCATCCAGCAGCTAGAAGGGTGCTTCCACCTGTTGTAGAAAATGGAAATTTTTTTTTATAGGAAGAAGGGTGGGGTAAGGGCGTTATTAGCAAAAAAGAAGAAAATTATTTTTAGGTCAGGACTTTGGTGTGGGGTGGCGGCGTGTGGGTGGTTTATCATGCAGACTGCTTCTTCCTCTGCGGAATGGAGAAGCCTACGTGACAGGTGAGCTCAATGGTGCCAATCAGAATAATTTCAAACCGGTTAAGATTACATTTAAAAAAATTTTTTCATAGCTATTTATTTTTTAATTAATTTATTTTGGAGTATAGTTAAGTTACAATGTTGTGTTAGTTTCAGGTGTACAGCAAAGGGATTCAGATATATAGATATATATAGATAGATCGATAGATACATACATACATACATACATAGATATACTTTTTCAGATTTTTTTCCCATATATGATTAAGATTACATTTCAGCAGAAGGTTGAAACTGCAATTAAGTCTTGGTTTGTTGTTGTGGGACCCTTTTCGGGCCTATTCTTTATTTATTTTTTAAAACAGGAACAAATATCAACAAAGATGTGAGGATTCAAAACTTTAATATATGTGAAGCCTCTTTTTTGAATTTTTCTGTTTAGTCTGTGTGGGGATGGTAGACTATACCTCAATGCATATTCACTGTGAGAGTGAGTGTCCACTCTGTATCTTGGTCTGGAAAATCTTCCTAGAGGAGATGGTACTTCAAGAGACTCAAAGCAGGGATGATTGCCAGTCTTGGAAATGGGAGTTGTTTTCTGCCCTTGGAGCGTAAGAGAAGGCGAGGCCTGCAAGTGATAGCAAAGAGATTAGGGTATGAAAGAGGGGGAGGCAAGTTCAGTTCCTTGAAGTGCTATCTGAAAAGAATTCCTAGTGATTGTCTTCTGGAAAATCATCTGTCTAGCATATTTCGGTGCCATGCAGAAAACTGGCAGAAGTTTAGAAAAATAGGCTTCTTGAATAGGCTAGAAAAAACAGAAAATTTCAGCAACTAGCCACCAAAAGTTAACAACAAGACAATCAATAGGTTAAAACAAAACAAAAAGGACAAGGCATTTAATCAATGAATATTTATTGAGCACCAGCTTTGCTCCCAGCATGGTGCCAATTACAGGGAATTCAGACACAGATTCTGTCCTGCAGCCCAGGCAGCAGAAACCTAACCACTAAAGGCATCTTTGTAAAATAGGACCCAATCCCAGCATGTTTTTTGAAGATACGTACATGTATGTATGTATCTTAGCTGCATTCCTTTAAAGAAAAAAAATTCCTAACCTCTTCCCCTCCTACCAAAATAAAACTTTTAAAAATGCAAACAATTTGGACTTCCCTGGCGGTCCAGTGGTTAAGATCCCAGGCTTCCACTGCAGGGGGCACAGATTCGATCCCTTGGTTGGGGAACTAAAAATCCTGCTTGCCGCATAGTGCGGCCAAAGAAAAAAAAAGCTAACGTTCATTCACTTAGTCACCCATTAAATCATCATTTATTTACAAACCTAATATGAAAAATCATCTTGAAAAAGAATAAAGTTGGAAGACTCGTGCTTCCCAATTCCAGGACTTACTACAAAGCTACAGTCATCAAGACCATGTGGTACTGGCATAAAGGTAAACATATAGATTGGTGGAATAGAACTGAGAGTCCAGAAATAAAGCCATATGTGTATGATCAATTGTCTTTGACTGGGTGCCAAGACAATTAAATGGGAGAAAGAATAGTTTTTTCAACAAATGGTGCTGGGACAACTGGGTATCTACATACAAAAGAATGAAGCTGGACCTTCAAAAAATTAACTTAAAATTGATCAAAAATAAGAGCTAAGATTATCAAATCCGTAGGAGAAATTTGAGGCAGAAATCTCAGTGCGCGTGGATCAGGCAATTGTTCTTAGAGGTGACACCAAAAAAGACAAACAACAAAAGAAAAAAATAGTAAGTTGGACTTCATCAAAACTAAAAATTTTGTGCTTCAGAGGACACCATAAAGTGAAAAGACAAACTGAAGAATGGGAAACTATATTTACAAGTCATATATCTGATAAGGGACTTTGAAATATAAAGAATGTATTAAAAAGTCTTATAATTCAATAGTAGAAACACAAATAACCCAGCTTTTAAATGGACGCATGATTTGTATAGACATTCCTCCAAAGAAGATATACAAACAGCCAATAAGCACATGAAAAAATACTCAACATCGTTAGTCGCTAGGGAAATGAAAATCAAAACCTACAGTGAGATCTACCTCATACCCACTAGGACGGCTGAAATAAAAAAAGACAGACAATAGCAAGTGTTGGTGAAAATGTGGAGAAATTAGAACCCTTATACATTGCTTGTAGAATTTTAAAATGGAACTTTGAAAGCAATTTGAAAAACAATTTGGTGATTCTTCAAAAGTTTACACATAGAATTACCATATGATCTGGTAATTACACTGCTAGGCATATAACCAAGAGATATGAAAATGTATGTCCACACAAAAATGTATATATCAGTGTTCATAGTAGCACTATTCATAATTGCCAAAAAGTGGAAACAACCCAGTTTTCCATCAACTAATGAATGGGTAAACAAAATGTGGTATATCCACACAATGAAATACTATGCAGCCATAAAAAGAATGAAGTACTGATACATGCTGCAACATGGGTGAACCTTGAAAACATTAGTGTAAGTGAAGGAAACCAGACACAAAAGGCCACATGTTGTATAATTTCATTTGTATGAAGTGTCCAGAATAGGCAAATCTATAGAGATAGGAAATAGATTAGTAGTTGCCAGGAACTGGGGAGAAGGGGGAACAGGGAGTCACTACCAATGGGAATGGATTTCTTTTTGGAGTGATGAAAATGTTTAAAATTAGATTATGGTGATGATTGCACAACTCTGTGAGTACACTAGAAACCACTAAACTGAACATTTTTATTTTTTTACTTTTTTATTTATTTTTATTTTTGGCTGCTACGGGTCTTTGTTGCTGCACGGGCTCTAGGCGCACGGGCTTCAGTAGTTGTGGCGTACTGGCTTAGTTGCTCCATGGCATGTGGGATCTTCCCAGATAAGGGATCGAACCCATGTCCCCTGCATTGGCAGGCGGATTCTTAACCACTGCCCAACCAGGGAAGTCCTGAACATTTTTAAAAGAGGAATTTTATGGCATGTGAATTACATCTAAATGAAGCTGTCTTTGAAAGAAAAAACCTACTATGAGCAAGGTACTGTGCTAAGTGCTTGATATAAAAAGATGGTTATGTATTATTCATAAATGTCTCAGCAGCAACACTTACTCTGTGACATTATTTCATAAATCATGGGCATCTTATGTATCTTAATGATTTTTCTAACAAATGCACAGTATTCTATATAGCACTTAAGTATAATTGTTATATGATATAAAGGAGTTGAAACTTACTGAAACCAAATCATTTATGCCCAAGTGAGAGGGATATTTGAAGAGCTGGGCTACTGAAATGCTACTTGAATTTATAATTTTGTTTTTTCTTGAGCTTTTTATGTAGTCATCATGATATAAAAAATAATTTTATATTCTTTTCAATAAACATTTAATGAGCACTAATATGCATAAAGCATATGGGAATATGTCCCAGTTTAACCATATATAGAACCAACCAAACTTAAAATATATAATATGTGTGGGAAAGATTCCAAAAAGTGCCTGAGACACATCAGGCCCTCAGTAAATTTTCTCTGAATATTGTCAAATAAAATGGAACATAAGGAATAAAGGCAAGCAACTTGGGAAGTATTGTGTAGGTTGATATATATTCATGCTATTGAACTGACAATTTAAAGTGAACAAATAAATAAAGGGCACCACCTCATGAAAACACCACAATATTCTTTCTCTAGCATATTTCCACTGCTGACATGTCGCTGGCTGGAAGTGAAATTTTCGGGAAGAAAGGAAAGCTCCTTTCAATTATTTAAACCTTATGGCTCTTCTGAAATTATATTAGTATCGCTGAAAATCCTATTATCTAAAGATCTTATAACTCCAGCAAATGTAAATCAATTGATGATAACTAGATCAGGTAATCAAGAAGTTTTTGCTTTTTGTAGGAAAAAAAATAGAACGAAGACTGGAGAAAAAGCCAGAGAGTATACATAATCATTGACTCCTATATTTAGGCTTGGAAAATGTTCAGATCCTTTTGATAAATAGCCCACAGTTCCACTGGTGATTAGAATATGGTTCAAGTCGCTACATATGCAATGGCATTTTTCATCTTGTGGATTCAGTGGACTATTGAGAGAAAGGAAGTCAGAGCTGTCATTCGCGTAGAGGTTCAGATCACATCATTTGCACAGAATCATCAGTTCCCACACACAGTGTTTGAATCATTCCAGCACGAAGGGGAGAAGCCCCAC